CTTTTGGTACTAGTACATATAAGCTTGCTAATATGGATAATTTTTTCATTCCTGATGATGACATAATTAATGTCGAAATATTGAATCCCAACACGATGGCGTGTATTTCAATACTTGGAGTATGTATTATACTTTCTTATCTGAGATTAATCAGTGGACCTTTCGGTGTGCTAACTTAACTTATGTAATAAAGCAGTAGAACAATAAGAAAACAAACAAAGCAATACACAAATACGATATAAGCAAGGTGAGAGGAACTATTGAAAATGGTATGTTTTTAGATGGGCGTTGAACTGCCTAAGCAAAATAATCACAAGATCTGAGAGAATTAAGCAGATTATTCCAAGTTTGGGTAGCACTTGAAGGCAATGAATTGTCACCAAAACGTTTATGGAAGACCGGTCGAACAAGTTGGATGGATTTGGAAGATCTTGTTAAGCGCACATGAGTACGTAGTGTTAGGTAATTTGAAATATACAAAGGCAGATGCCAGAAAGTAATTTGAAAACAAAGAGGAGAAGTTGGAATTTAATTTAATTCTTTTCTGTACAACCAATGAATATCACGAATAAGGGGAGATGTGTGAGTACCTGACTTACAAGGAAAAATGAGTCTAGCAGCAGAATTTTTAAATTTCTGCTTGGTGCATAAATCTATTCATAATAGGCCATTGTACAGTAAATTGCAGTAGTCCAGTCTTAATAAAAAAAAAAAACCAGTGCCCTCACAGCAGCATGGCAGGTATCCCTATCTATGAACTTCCAAATCAACATTGAACACATACTTGTCCACACACTGGAGCACACGAGGTCTGGTCTATGCTGTCCAAAATTAGCTTAGTTTTTTTAACAACTAATGCTTTTTTGCGGTATTTCAATAATATTAACAACACTGAGATAGATATTGTTAAGATTAGGAAAGAGATTTTATGTGATGGTTATGCTTTAGTGTAGTTTTGTTACTACTTTTAGGCCAAGGCCCACTAAAATAACATTGCATCTACAGACAGACTGCAATAGGTGTCCATCGAAATCATTCATGGCTGCAGGCTGACAATTAGAGCTTTAGAGCCTAGCTATTTTCATAATTAGCTAATTATTTTTGTGTTGTTTTTCAATCTTATTAATAACATTTATATATTTATTGTTTAGATTAGGCGGCCGATTACATTCGATGGTAATGCCGAAGTAGTGTAGCTTTATTATTTTGAGGTCTGGCCTAGGCCTACAAAAATTGAATTTCACTTGCTGAGAGAGGCTGCAATAAGTGGTCTTGAACAATAAACAATGTTACGACGGACTTTTTGTGCTTATAGGGCCTAGCTTTTTTTTTTTTCTTCTTTTTTTTTTGCTAATTAGATTAAGGACTTAGCCGTTAACAGTTAACAGTGACGATAGTTTACGGTACGGTAAACAGTACGGCAACATTCAACGTTGATCTTTCTCAACATGGGGATATTGAACTTAACCCAGGTCCTTTAATGAAAAAGCCTAAAGAGAAAGAAATTAAGGATCTTAGGGATAATTTTTCAGTCAAATCCGTATGTGATTTATGTACAAAGATTATATATAAAAATCGTCTTTGCGTTAGATGTGCTGAATGTTTTAGATTTTACCATGCTAGCTGTTTGAGAATTAATTCAAGTTATTTTAAGAGGTATATTAGGGACAGTGGTGATTCTACCTGTGTTGCTTGTGCACTACCAAACCTGGATGATTGTTATTTCACTGAAATAAATGATGCTCCTCAGGATGACGAATCTTTTAACCATCAAGTCGAGAATCAAAATGGATGCATAATTTCATATGAACGATTGAAACAAAAAGGAATTCCATTTTTTCATAGCAATACAAGATCATTGTTACCGAATGTTCCTGAGTTGAAGTGTGTTGCTATGCAGACAAAAGTAGCTCTTATCGCTATATCCGAGTCGTGGTTGTATTCCTCAATTTCGGACCAAGACGTAAATATCCCAGGTTTTAAGATCCTAAGAAAGGACAGAAATAGATCCGTTGGTGGCGTCTGTATTTATGTAAGAGAGTCCCATACATACATCGGACTGAGCCAGATCTGGAAGCAGTTTGGATTAAACTCTCCTTGCCAAGAACGAAACCTATCATCTTTAGATTGTGTTATAGGTCTCAGAAACAGTCTCATTGAGTTTTTATAAGCCTGTTAGATTAGGCTCTTGAACAAATAACACAAAACTCTGAATGTTATGTAATGGGAGATACTAACATGTGTGCAATAAAGAAAGACTCAAACTTTAATAAATATAACAACATGTTAAAGTCCCATGGTTTTATGTTACTCTCGACTACTCCAACCAGAATTGGTATTAACTGTAAGTCAACAATAGACCATATTTTCTGTAACAGCACTGATAAAATTTCTGACTACGGCTGTCTACCAACTGGATTTAGCGACCACTTTGCGGTTTACGGTATTCGTAGAATAAAAACCAAGAAATATAACAAGCTTAAAACTGTTCAACTTAGACAAACCAGATCGTATGACAAGGAAAGTTTTGATAATTGCTTGAAGAATCGAACTGGGGCAGTGTCTACCACTCCAAATCGGTTAATGATGCATGGGATCAGTTTTGTGTAATATTTAATGCAGCATTGGATAAAGTTGCACCAATTAAAGTCGTTAGGATTAAATAATCTTCAGATCCTTGGATGACTACTGATATCCTTGATTTGATCAAAGAGAGGGATAAATGTTTTTCGAAGCTAAAATCAAGTGACAACCGAGAAGTTCGCAAAAAAATTTGCGCATTACGGAATAAAGTTCAACGTCTTGTGAAGTCTGCAAAAGGAAGAATACATTAATGGACAAATAAGAAACAACAGAAATGACTGTAAAAAACTTTGGGAAATAGGATCGAATTTAGGTTGTAAAGATAATTCAAATGACTCAAATATTGTTCTTAAAATTGATGATACGTTATGTAGTGATAAAGATATTATTAGTAACTTATTTAATTCGTATGTGTGTAGTGTTTTTAGTAATGAGTGCGTATGTGTGTATGTTTTTTAAACATTTTTTTGTGAAGGTAGAAATTAAATACATTTCTTGTAGTGATTATTATTAACATGTTGGATATGTTATTATGTTAATGCTGCTACTGCTATAAGAAATGGGCCTATGCCCATACATATAGGCCTATATACCTCTCACAATTTGTTGTTTTCAAGATATTAAGTCAAATGTATAATCATATTTGTATACCAATAGAAAAAACATGGGTGGGGGAAATGTCCAACTGACCAATTGAAGGCCACGCAAATTCGGCTTGAAGATCCTATAATCTGAACAGTAGCCCTAGTCACGGTATAAACAATTAGGAGGATTAGTTTGCTCAGATCGTTAATGTTACTAAGCGCAATATCCTTTGTAGTTTACCGCTAACGAGAAGGGCTTTATCCAAAGTTTATCATTAACGGTTTTTTCTCATGAGAAAATATATATGCTTGTAATAAATTGTCCGCTTAAAGAGAGAAATATCAAATAAATTCCATAAAGTTAATTATACACACATAATACAGGTTTGTGGTTATACTATAAATAACAATTATCATAAATGTGTTGTTTTTTAATTGTAAAAGCACAAGCTATTTCTTTCTATTTTAGAATAAGAATATACTTTAAAATAAAATTTAAAAATAAGCTAGACACTGCAGTATTTCTTTCTTCTTTCGTTCTGCCGGGTAAAATCAATTACTTTAGGCGACGTTTGTAGACAACATCCACATGTACCAACATCAGCATGTCGCGACGCTCGAGTATTACTATTCAGTGTTTTTACTATATTTCTAGGTTTCCTATTTCTACGTTTAATCGGCCCATGTCTCAGCCGCAATATTTTGAGGCCAATAGTATTTACGAACCCAGTTAAACTTATTTACTAGCCTATTTCAGCGTGCTAATTATTACATTTAGGTGACGCTTGTTGTAGAATGGCATACACGGCACCAACGCTAGTTTTTACTATGTTTCTACGTCAGCTCGTCAGTGTTCTAATATAGACAATGGGTCGTGTCTCAT